TATTTACAGAATCAAATAAATTACTAATGTACAGCTTAATGTGAACAATCAATATTTTTGTGAGTTAAAACATCAACAAAACTCGTATAGCGTCCGCACTAGTTAATATCGATATAACAACTCTAACAGGAACAGCAAAACTTCAGTTAAGGTCTTAATAACCAGATGTTTGCAGGTACATAAAACTTATATGGCAAGGTTTAAGATTAAGAAAAAGAAAGAAAGAAGAATATTTGCCTTAACGTTTAGCTTATAAATCTGTGAAAAACCAGAACGAACACTCTGGATCTCTGTCGACGTCTCAGCCCAACTCCGGTACACTTTGTCAAAACATTCAGCTTTTACCTGTTGGTGTTTCGACCATCAGGTTGAGCGTGTGGGAAGACTTCACCCAGGTAAGTCAGAGAGCCAGGTCAGGTCTCTTACTCCAGTAAAACTTCCAAGTTTTGCTTCACAACGTCCCCGGATATCTGCCTCTGTCTGACGGAATGAGTCAAGATCCGTTTTGGGTTTTTCTTAAAAAAAAAAAACCTACTCATCAGAAGTTTTAAAACTAAATGGAGCTTCAAAGCTGGTTGTTGGACCACGACTGAGGGTGTCGTGAGCCGATAGGCAAAGACTTTCTCYTTGGCAAAAGAGTTAAATCAGTACCAAACACTGATTTTCCTACAAAGGAATCACAACTCAGGGAGACGAAAAAAWTGGTGTCTTTCTCGTCTCTTTTCTTTTCTCTCTCTGTCGAGGGCTTGGTTCCAGGGTTATTTTCTAAAGAGAAAGAGCGCTAGGAACGTGACCTCGACTTTTGGTTGGTTACAGGCAGAATGAAAAGTTTAGTCTAGGATATTCGCCATAGCTGAATAACATTTTGCKCCTGCACAGCAAGAGTTTGAAACCTTGACAGGGTTACACTGAGTGAAAATGAACTAAGTTCAATGAAATATAAGAGTATTATATGACCCCCCGCACACGAAGCGTAAGCGGGAGTAAGATTGTTTTTGTACAGTTTATTATTTTTTCAGTGATTTTTGGTCAACTGTAGCACAAAAACAGCTGCACTGGTCAACATGAAATTTGGCAGGGTTGTAGATGAGTCCAACCTACACTGCGCCAACCAACAATTTCACAATAGACCCCATATTTGAGGAGGGGGCTCCTTTCAAAGTGGGGGTGTCTGGACATGCAAAAATGCTTATAACTCAGAAACTGTTCAACATAGAAGCTTCAGATTTCTTTTGTTGTTTAGCTCTGATGAAGCTCTAWCCATCAGGCCCACCAATGTTACCAGGTAACATTGGCTGTCACCTGCCCGATTGGGCAGGTAAAAAAGTAAAATCTTGTRGAACCCTGGACAATATCTGACTCGACTCTTTTAAATGAAACCAGAGAGCGTTGACAGAGAGGAGAAGGTAGAAATGACTCAGCCTGTAACTGAAAATATACATGGAGTACAAGAAAGCTGCTTCATGGAAGAAGAACCCCAGCTTAGCCTGTTAGCTTTAGCATTAGCCCCGACGCTATCACCATATACAGGTGCTGGTCATAAAATTAGAATATCATGAAAAAGTAGATTTATTTCAGTAATTCCATTTAAAAAGTGAAACTTGTATATTATATTC